GCCCGAGAAGGAAACTTAAAAAAAAGATGGAAGTTCTAAGACAACCCATTTTTGGCAATTCCTGGATCAAGGATGATAAAGACGAAAGCCTCTCCCTTTCCAAAAACAGACGCCAAATGGGGGCACTGGATTGAGAAAGGAATAATATGGCAAATCCAACGTCTGTGGAACGACTCAACCAACAACTGGAAGGAGGAAAAGGACCTCAGAACTTTACCCTAAAAGGAAGCCACAACCTTCAAGCCAACCTAGCAAGCATTATTGCAAGCATCCCAATAGAGTGGCGACGCCTATTAAAATCAGAGCAAAACTGGGTTTCGGGGGACTGGGCAGGCCGGGCAGGACAGAAGAATCAAACCACTACTTCAACAGAAATCTGGTTTTTTTTTTTTTTTTTTTTTTTTTTTTTTTTTTTTTTTTTTTTCCCGAATTTGGATGTTATGCTTAAACAAATATTGTTTAGTTTTTTTTTTTGCATAACATATATTTTTTGTTTTTTTTTTTTTTTTTTTTTTTTTTTTTTTTTTTTTCCCGAATGGTCATGGGGCATCCCAGGCACCACCACTACAACAGTCCGCAGACACAAAATAACAGACTACACCCCCAAACTAGGCAGCTACAAACTGCTTTCCACTCCCATTTCGACATCCGATTCGACGACAGTACAGAAAAGACGGCAAAAGGAAGAAAGCTCACTGGCCAACGTATCCTTCAAACCCTCCTGGAATTCAATATTCTGCGCTAGACCGGTTAAATTAAAATTAGCCAGCCTACTCTGGCTCATAACCTATAGAGCAGCAGTCCCCGTGCACCACTAGCTGGCACGGAGACGAAGAAAGGAGGACAGATCAGAACAAGAATCCAAGAATCATGGTGCAAAGTCTGCAACGCTCAAGCCACAGAGACACTCAACCACAGCTTCCTAGAATGTGAGAAAGGCTCAGACCCTATGGAAGGAGATAGAACGGACTTGGAACAGGGGGTTCGATTCCCGTTATCCGCAATTGCAATTTGATGAAAAAAAACTGATATATATATATATATAATATTATATTATATATATATGTTGTCCTCTTCTCCCTCTCTGCCTACGGTTTACCGGACAGTTCTATTTATATATATATATCGTCAAACAGAACTGCCCGGTAAACCGTAGGCAGAGAGGGACAAGAGAACAACAAACGAGGGGCTTTTAATTTATTTATTAATATTATTTTTTGGGACAATTTGCTCCAATCTATTCGTGAAAAAAAAAAACTGAGATAAATAAAATGCGCGTATAAAAATTTAAAACTTGTCGTCAAATCTTGGAAAATGTTTGGCAAACAAAAAAACTTACTCAAAAACAACAAAAAATAAAAAATTTCAAAGGCTCGAAAAAAACAAACAAACAAGGCCAGTGAATTTTCACAAAAAATACAAGCCATTAAAAAGTTATCTATTTTTTAATATTTTTATGGTAATCTGCCACGTCACAAATCAACCCCAGCACCCTATTCTTAGGCATCGAACAGGTCCCGCAGCTCAAAGGTTTCGACCTCTTCTTCTTCTCAGAATTATCAGGAAAGCCTCACTTTGGGCGATCTGGAAAAGAAGATGCGTCTTGACTTTTGAAGATCACCTCAGTAAAAAAANAAAAAAAAAAAAAAAAAAAAAAAAAAAAAAAAAGAAGAAGAAGAAGAAGAAGATCACCCCAGCAACCAAGAAACCCCCCTCATAACTGTCAAACACCTAGTAATAGAGACCGAAATCCACGCCCTCTGGAAAAAAACACAGATTCAAATACCAAACACACCAGACATGTCAAAAAGCTCGAGATTACCAAAAGATTTATGCCAGGAAAACTTGGAGGAGGAAATCTGGGCACGATAGAGGGGAACAGACTGGTCTTGAAAGACTGGTTCACTCTGCCACCCATCACCTTTCGGGACCCGGGAAATCCCGCACAACCACCCAGGACACAATTCGACTTTCAACCGGTCCACGGACCGACCGACAACCCAGATGTGCACAACTAACATCGATGGCGAGAATACCATGTTTTAAGCAAGGGCTCAATCAGCCGGAGGAAAATCGAAGGAACGAGCAAAAGACAACGGATGAAGGGAACACGGGTCCCAGCCGACAACAGGCTAGCAGCCGACAACAAAAAAAGAACCATTAGTACTTTACTCTATCACCCAAAGGATTTCCAAAAAGTCATGTCAAACCACTAGTACCTTTGCCGCTGGGAAAATAGCGGGCCTCGGGTAGGCGTCCGACCTTTTCAGAGGCCAAAACGAAATGACGGCCGCCGATCAGATTTATCAATGGCAGTCGTTGTCGGGCCCGACCTCCGAACATTCAGGAGTTTGGGAAAACTGGCAGTTTTCCCTATTTTTCCACGCGGGAAAGGTACTTAGTCTAGTGGCTCAACAAGAACAGCTAAAAAAGAAATGGTCCCATACAAGGAAAACCCATTTGAGAGTGTATGGTTTTAAAGCCAAACAGACACAACGTACGCTCCGAAGGACATGATTAGACTCACCCTCAAAAATTGGATACGCAAACCAACAATACCAAGCAACCCATCATCCGCACTACCTCAGAGATCACCGATATTAAACCAACCCCACAACACCCAGAAGTAACTTCCTCGACACCTCCCTCCCCCCCACAATACCTCCTCCCACTCCCAACCCATCCCCCAAACATCTGAGCAAACACAGACTAACGCACACAGCCCCCTTCCCCTCCCTGCTCCCACGCACCGCACCCAGCCTACAACCAGCACCGATCCAAAATTCCCTACCCTACCAACACCCCTCCCTTTACGCCAACCCCAAACAGAGAGTATACAGCAGAATACAAGAAGTCCCCCCCATCAGCAGTAGTCAGGATACAACCCCCAGAAAAAGGTTCATCAGCAGGATGTAACCAAGCTAGGTTTTAGAGCATACTTGCAAGTGGATGCCATCCGGGCGGTTCCGCACGTGCGGCAGACCGCCGGACCGGACCCGCGCGGCGCACGAATGTGCGCCCGACGACCAGTTACGCTCCACCTCCCAAAAAAAAAATTAAAAAAATGACCCCGTCCGGTCCGGTCCGGGTCCGTCTGGTCCGTGGGGAGGGTGCCGCACGCCGCAAAGTGGACCGGACCAGACGCTCGTCCGGTCCGTCTGCTTGCAAGTATGTTTTAGAGCCTTAGCTTCAAGCGACACTTTCAAGTAAAACAGCTCCCAAGGAGTCTGGAAGTAGAGTAAATGGATCCGACACACCCACTGCCCCAAGAAAAACACCGACATGCCACAAGTCCATTTGACAGAGAGGAACAGTCAGAAAAGAGACCTGATAGCTCCAGCAAAGTCAAGCAGCAGCCACTAGAACAGGCTAACTTAGGCAGGGGTGAAGATCGGTACATCCTCCTTGAAGTTTCAAGGAAGTAATCAATGCCGTCTTCTGAGCCTCCACGCCATTAGGGGGAGGAGCGTGTGTGAATAACCATTGTACTATCTTTGACTTGCCGGGGGAAGAGGAACCAGACTGATGCTCCCCAGAATGGAAAAGGAACCAGAACCTCGAGGTTCTGTTTCTTTATAAAAAAAAAAAAAACAAAAAAAAAAACACTATGCATGCTGGCAGATGGATATACTATATTAAGCAGATGTATATACAAAAAGCAGATGTATTATGTATATACAAAAAGCAGATGTATCATGTATATACAAAAAGCAGACGTATTACGTATAAACAATTTCAGTGTTTGATTGTTCCTTTTTTTTTTTTTTTTTTTTTTTTTTTTTTTTTTTTTTTTTTTTTTTAAGTGTTTGATTGTTCCAGTTCTCTGCGCAAAAGTTTTCTTACGTTCTTTTCTACACAAAGTTACAGCTCTCAAGTTTCAACTTCCGATTACTCATAGATCTCATAGATCTCATCACGCAGCTTGTTGAGACATAGATCTCATCACGCAGCACTGGGAAACAACAACATAACCTCCTATTCAGTAGTAGTGTAGTCATTTTATCACAGAGTATACAACAACAACACCCCACTATGGACCAGGAACAGAGTTCCCTCTTGGGTCGCACTACTACTTACAAGACAAAATTATAACGTCTTCAAATAAACGGGCAAAAGGCATCATCCACTTTTGCGCCATACCACTGTAACACTGACATTCACATCAGTGCAAATGAACCCTGAGTCCCTTGCCAGATGCGCTTGTATTAAAAAATTGCGCATATAGGACATAGTATGTAAATAAAATTTAATAAATTTAATTAAGCAGTCTATGCATATTGACCGATGAAAAGAAATTCGCGTAATAAATACTTCAGTGCTATGAAGAAAAGTTGTATTTTTCAATAGTATCAAACCTCAAATTACCGGAAAGATACATCCCACCTTTTTTTTTTTTTTTTACTGGGATGGGTGTATCCCACCATGCCTCCATAGAAGCATCAAATTAGCGGCAAGAGATATACCACCATCCTCCGCCTGTGTTTCCCTCTTGAGCCTCTCTCTCTCTCTCTCTCTCTCTCTCTCTCTCTCTCTCTCTCTCTCTCTCTCTCTCTCTGTGTGGGGTCTGCCTCTTCTGCCCTGGTGGTTGTCCTCATGTCAGCCTTTCTCCTCTTGACTTATGCTTCTCTCTCTCTCTCCCCCCGCTCTCTCTCTC